AAAATATAATAACTTACAATGTATATATACCAAATCACTAAAATACAAAGTGAACTTAAATTTTTTAAAAAAATCACTTTATAGGTAGAATTACTCATTTTGGAAGTGAATGAATTTAAAATAAATTGTTGGGATTGTGTCTTTGATTCTTTGTATAACTTCATGAGAATTAGATAGGGTTAGAGATCTATCACGATTAGGAGATTGAGTCTTATCATGATTAGGAATTTGAATCCTATTCTAATTAGGAAGTTAGGTTAGATAGAGTTTTGGTTCCCTATATATATTCTTCTATTATTAAAGGAAAAACTAATGAGAAGAGAGAACCAATATTCTTGTAATCTATGGTGAGTAGATGGCATAGCCTGATTCAACAATATTGTGCGAGAGGCGATGGTTTGATAGTCTTTGTCCATGTAAAAAATTACAATATTGAGAGAGAGTTTCACAGTCTTTGTCCGTTTAAAAGATTATAAGGATTGTGTTTTGGAGAGAATATGAGAGTTGATTATGTATGTGAGGTTGAGAGATTAAGAGACAAGAGTTGAGTGGTTTTTGTTGTAGTTCTCCCTGATACATAGTAGATTTCTCGTATTGTTGCCCTATGGATGTATGTCGAAGTTGGTCGACCAAACTACGTAAATCTCGGTGTTCTTTTTTTATTGCAGTTATTTTCTCCCTGATACATAGCGGGTTTCTCGTATTTTAGCTCCTTGTCTTCCCATGGTAAGTCCCAAAGACACTGTACGATAAGCCCAGCCCATTAAGGCCCACAATAACGGACCGCGGCATTTCCGTTAATCACAACAAATCCAGGGATAATTATGAAGTTGCCCCTCTTAAATACTCGACGGAGTCCTCTCTCCTGATCAAGAGCGCGGACCTCGAGGGTATCATACCTCTTCCCGAAATACCCCCGTTCTTGCCACCAAATTACAAGGAAGAGGAACAACTCAAAAAAAAAAAAAAAGAGCACCTTTTTTCTTCTCTCACTTACAAAATTTTGCCGAGAATTTCTCATTTCGATTCATTCTTGTTCCAAGATCTCAAATTTGCATGAGCCAAATCGTAATTTGAACCGATTCACCGATTCTTTAGCCACAGATTCGATTTTGATCACGGCTCTCTTAAATCTCCAGTTCGCAACCTAGGGTTAGGTCTTGAAACCGCCATGAAAGNNNNAAAGTCCACCCAGTTCCCAGGAAGCGCAACATAAACCCTAACCTCGTTTCCCGCCAAAAGAAGCTCCGCCGCCTCCCTCACATCTTCAGCAAGGTCCTCGAGCTCCCGTTCCCCTCCGACGCCGACGTGGAGGTTGAAGAGGGCCCCACCGCGTTCAAATTCACCGCCGCCGCCCATGATCTCGGCGACGGTGTTGGGGCCCACGCGATTGAAATCTACCCGGGGGTTTTGAGGGTGGTGGTTAGGGACGAGAGCGGGGACCGCCGCGGGGAGGAGGAGGGGGAGATGGAGATGGACATGTGGCGCTTTTGGCTGCCGAGTGGGGCGAAGAGTGTTGGCGGGGAGTTGGTTGTGATTGTGCCGAAGGGGGCCGAGGATGAGGGTGAGGAGGGAAGAGAGGAGTTTGGTATTAGTCAGCTGGTTCTTGTACAGTGATGGTTCGTTTCTGTTGATTGTTATTGTACCTTTGATGCTCTCGGTTGATGAATCGATGATCAACGTTTGCGAATTCGAAATCGTTGTTTACTCTTTTCTTTCGATAATTCGAAATAAGTTGCAATTTGTTCCCATATATTTCTTATTTATTTTGACACTTAAAGCTTTGCTATGTGAATAGGAAGGAAGAAGGAGGTGAAAAGGTTTGATGTGTAGTTGCTTAGCAAACGTTTCCTCCCTTGTTATTTATGCTTGGCAGTGGCAATGTGATTTGTGTCTTAATTTGGAGTTCATTTGGTTTAGACGAAATGTAGGTATAGTGATTTAACCAAGGGTATTCCACTGTAGTTTGGAACGTAACATTGATGGCATTTGTTCATCGCATTGTTTGTATATGTTTGAGTTAATGGCTTATCTTACACGTGCATTCATTAGCTATTCCTTTTGATGTTGCGCCAACTTGATGGTTCGTGGAACATGGTTATGGTTGTAGCCTGGTTTCTTATGTGTGAAACATTTGTGTGTTTGTGTTTAGTTTCTAGTATATTCGGCCAGCAATTTGTGTGAATGGTTAAAGAACTATGATAATCATATGAACTGGACTTTGCTATTATAGTATTCATATATAGGCTTCTGGAACTTCAATTGTATCATTATCATCAGTGTATAGTTTTCATGAACTTGTGTATTGTTTTGCTAGCCTGTTATACTCAGCCGATCCTTGCACTCAAAACCTTTGATGTTTAAATGATATGCACATGCACGAAGTACATTCGCACATCTATAGGGAGTGAGGGAATTTATGTACTCAATATTTGTACACACGCACATGCATGCATGCCCGCGCATAGAGAGACATACATGCATGTACATTTATGGTTTCTGTTGTTGTCTCATTTCCTGGTTCCCTTTGATGGCTAACTGATTTCTTCTTTCCTACTGCACATGCATGAATCTTTTGTAGCCACCGTATATTTCATCGGGGTTCTTTGGCTCAACTTAGTTCTGTGGTTGTGGATGGCGGTTTATCAGTAACTTGTATGCCATGTTGGTTTGTAGTTTCTCTAATAATTCTCAAATGTTACTGCAATAGAGATGTGATCTTGTGATGTCAACCTCTAGAGGGGTTATGCATGGCTTCCTCTTTCTATGAAGCGCTTATATTTCCATCCTTGGTTATCCATAGACATTGTCTGTTGGCAGGTCATATCTCATGAGCTTGTGTCCAACTTCTGCCTTTTTCCTCTTGCTAACTGTGTTATACTTAATTTTGCAGAGAAAACAATCCTTCAAGCAAATCAGAGTATGGGGTATTTTTGGAGATGAAAAGTTTCCGGAACGTTTTAGAGGAAAATCAGACATTTTTAGTGGCCATGGGCAAACTTGTTTTTGTGTTTATATTTCTTAAGATATCTTCTAAAAGCTCTTTCTTCAGTAAGTGTTAAAAGATGAGTTTTACCTTCTTCAGTCTCCGTCTGTCTGACATTGTGGTTTTTAGTAAATTTCATTGTCTTCTACGTTTTGTAAATTGTTTCACCTGCTTTCTGTGCATATCATATCTTGCTGTAAAAATACGGGGCCTTTCGAAGTCAGATTTCTTTGTTTTCTTGATGTGGCCTTTCGAAGTCAGATTTCTTTGTTTTCTTGATGTTTGTAAAGAAAAATCCTACCGGATTAAGCATTTTTGCAAAGCTTTTTGGCTATTTGTTTGATGAGCACTTAGTGTTGCTTATTCTCGACCTCAATCTATTGTGCTTTATTTATTTATTTATTTACTTATTATGATGATGAAAATCTATTGCGCTTGTTAACTTGGACATATGTTGGCAGATGGAACTCTAATACCCTGGGGACCTTTTTAAATACTTTAGACCCAATTTTCTGAGTGTTTCCACTTGTATGGCAGGGGGTAAAAGTTCAGAAAACTTTATAAATACTTGAAACAAACAAAATTATTCAATGATCATTTGGTGGGTGATTGTATATAATTGGAGATAATTGCAAGTCGCCCACCAAGAGTTGGTAACATCCATCAATAGTTTATGCTCACAAGTATAATACACGAGGAAAAACCACTACATAAGCAAATAATTCAAGGACTTGGTCATCTTTTACCTACACGTGTTTGCATGCCCAAGTCATGGAAGTGGAGAAATACCAGGATAACACTAAAATAAATGAAATGAACCATGATTCATTGCCAAGCTTTCAGTGTGGTATATAAATTCCTGTGGATCTAAATTGGGATGAAATAGAGCCACATCTTGAGGAGGAGAGGTGGCCTCAAGCTATTCCTCTGCCATTATGTACGGCAATAGCTTTCCACTGCCCAGGCAATGGGAAGCTTCCCCCTCGCGAAAGGGCAACGACGCTGACCAACAACTCTTTGTAGAATGTCAGTGACAAGGCGAGGAGGAGCGCCATTTGAGCGAGAAAGAATTTACTATACAGATTTTAAAATCGATGGTTATTCAGATAGATGGACACATACATATAGCGCTGGTTTTGTATTTTGATTGAACTAGTTCAGAGTTGCTAGTAGAGCATGTTTCACATTCTGCTTCATGGCACCTCCACCAAGCAAGCTTTTCTCAAGCACTCGTGACGGAACGAGGGTAGATTGGACATTTTCACTATTCACAACACTTGCTCGACGCGAAGTTGAGAAATCTCAGCTCACATGTAGGATGTTCTGAGAAGATTAGTGTTCTAGAGTTGACACGGGAACACTTCACAGGATCAGCTTCATGTCTATATGATTTTATTTAGTGCCTTGTGTATGATTTTCCGGATCACGCTGAAAAAGCCGAGATGTAACGCCCACTTGATTAAGCATCTAGTTGCTTGCATGCGATGGAAGTTGATAAGAAAAAGGTGGGATTGAATAGGGTTGATGTGTGCACCACTGCCCAGTTCTCATAGAATGAGATATGAGCAGGTGTAAGTTGAATCCAAATAACAAATTGTACGACTACTTTTGATCGCATCATTTGTTCACCTTCATCTTTACTTAATTCTTCATTTCTGAGGGATGGATAAGACACTTGCACAATAAGAAAGAACACGAGCTTTCTCGAGAAAACATGTGAAGGTGATGTCGTTGTCTCATAATGAGCAGAGTGGATGGTACCTTAAAAAAAAGGAAATATTTCCCTGGTGTTTGAAACTTCCAGGTGCTTAATCATAAATGCAATTATTTGAGAAAAGTCTAGGGTTATCTACAGATATACCTCATTTATAACCCCCTAAATTATTAATTAGTATTTACAATCTCTGAAGTTCAGGTCGGCATGTCGATAAATTATATTTTCTCCTCAATTTATTGGAACAAGAAAAACACCAAAATGTAAATCAGGGTATAACGCTGACAAAAAAAGTTTTAGAGGGGGAATACAAGTTACCATAACCCAAAAACTTATTACTTATCAAGAATACTTAAAGCAACATGCTCGGTAATAATAAAATTAGGACAATCAGAATAATCTATGACACAACCGATAAGGAAACAAAAGGATGTTCATAATACAATTTTACAAGTCTCCAGCAAAATGATCTGTTATCCTGACTTCTTGCCCCTGTTTCGCCTGGGGGCAACAACTGCCCATCCTTCTTCATCCGGCATTTCATTTTGTTTCGGCTGTGGACCCGATTTAGGCACGACTGGTTCATCTACCATCATATCTGAAGCTTCTTCATCTGAGCTCTCATCATCATCATCATCATTAGTCACCTACAACAAGAACAGAGCATTTGCATCAGGTTTTGTTAGCTTTTTCAAGCCGCCTACAATGAGCCAGATCACAAACTATAGAAAGCACCAGAGTCCGAGTCACAAGAACAGATAAGGCTACGTTATAAAATGTTAGCACTGATTATTTGTTATATCTTTTTCAGAAAAACATCACAGGCTCCCAAAACTATTTAGTACTCTTATCCTTCTTACTGTTTCATCTGTAAACTTGAAGATGGAAATGGAGATCCGACTCACATTCGGAAAGTTTGGGATAAAGGTTTTATTGCTGTAGTTATTTTATCACAACTTGTGAAACTTAAAAATCCTAATGAAGTAGGAAATGGTTTTAACTCACAATCTGTTGGTAATAACTAGCAAGCTATCTTAAAATTGGAAGAAAATCATTTTTCTGCCAAATTACTAGACTTTTGCATCTGTTTTATAAATCCGATGATCGAAATTGAATTGTATCCAGCATTCAATCCAAAGTTAAAAGGCTCAACAGTTGCCATACTAAAGACAGATTCCATTTCTCGATATGTAGGCACCATGATAGATCCTCTTGGTTTATGCTCAATCATCAGTTAAATAAAGACTTGCAGTTAAGCATTGAATGCAGCGATTGTGGCCCAAACCTCCATTTTTCAGCTTTCTAAAAGAATCTAGTCAATGATTAAGAGATTACTTTGTTCAATAATATGCTAGCATACAAACAATTATTTATCAGTGTCATAGTATGATGGAAACGTACCACTATCAGTATCATAGTATGATGTATTAGTGGCCAAAGAAAGAAGTGGGCTGGTATCAGAGTATCAGAATGAAAAAGTTGAATGGAACAGTGTTGATTAGAGAGCATAGGAACAGCAATAGCAGTGAAAATGTATTCTTAACCTTCGCAAGTGTTCATTGGCTCATCTTTTTAGCTACCTAAATAATTTATTCCACTCTCATGATAATACAGGTTACTATTGTTAACCACATTTTAGCACTAACGTATACACTTCTTAAATCAGCTATGGCTAGATCCAAGGTTTATATGTCAAAGAAAATCTTCCTGTACTAAAACGTAATAGCCGTCAAAACAAACTCAAGTCCATCACATATAATCATCAGTCATAGAGTTTCTTTAAGACAATAAATAAAAATAACAAACAAGAACTATAATCAAATTACCCGAAGGATTTATACTTTCAAACAGGTCGTCATTAGGATTGCAGTCTCATAGAAATTTTATCTTTTGTCCAATGCAGATAATTATTAAATACCAAACTTCCATGTGAAGATGGAAAGATGGCCATCTAGCAAGACACTTAACTGCATCTTATTTGCTGAATATTGAATATGTGCACCTAAGCTCTTCTGGCTCACAATTCTTTCTTGAAAAAAAATCACGCCTCTTTTCATGATAACCATTGAGCTTATATCAATGACAAGTATGCAAGTAATTATCAAAAAGACGACTTCAATTGAACCAATGAAAAGTGACCAACTTATTGCAGGACAGACTAAGTGGAAACTATTTGCAGAATATTGAATTTATGCTCCCAAATTATTCCTACTTTGCTTAAAATATCAACCCAAGCTATATTCGATGTGACCTTAGAGCATATATAGTGTAATATCTAATTCACACGCGCTTTAGGTCATATACACAAACAAACAAACACACACATATCCAACTTGGGAAAACAAAGCAGATGGAGAAATTGGACAAATATCGAGCAGTAAAAAAAATCCATATAAGAAGATGAGAACTTGATTGGTAAATGGAAACAAATCTGAGATGCTATTATAAACTCTCACAGCTGCTTTGGAATTGTCCCCGGCCCATTTTTGTTTTTCATCTGATATTTTACTTTACCTTACGAGAATATTGAATGGAAAAAGTCATCTTCATATAAGAAGATGAGAACTAGATTGGTAAATGGAAACAACTCTGAGATGCTATTATAAACTTTCATAGCTGCTTTGGAATTGTCCCCAACCCCTTTTTGTTTTTCATCTGATATTTTACTTTACCTTATGTGCGAATTATGGAAAACAAATCAAATAGCCCCTCCTTTAGCTACTTAAATCAATCTAGTTGAAGGAAGACAAGTCTTTAAAGCCTCTATTTCCTACACTGTATTGTTTCTAAATATTAAAACAGTCATCACTACTTCTTTAACGTTCATGAATTCTCCTTAACCAAATGAGAATATTAGGACATTGAATATTAGGACATCAGGTTGTGTGGTTTATCTGAACTTGGAGATGAGTCCATTTCTGTGTAGTAATTAGTAAAGAACATCATCTTCCATCTTTGTTTCTATGCTTTCATGGTCTAGGAAGTTGGAGGACTGCTTCTTGGATGCATGTAACTGAATAAATGTCAAATGCTATGTTAACCTGTCTGCCTCCTTATCCAGACTTTATGTCAAGGTCATCTCTTGTTTTGCCCTGGTTATGACTTCACCTCAGAGGGATTTGACGTCATATGAGAGTTAAATGACAAGACAGTTGTTAAAACTTGATCAACACTTTATAAAGCTTTCAGGCTCCATAGTTACTTCATCTTGATTGTTGATGGAAAAGGTTTAGGACGATGGTGAACCCTCCACCCCACCCTTGCCTCCACTAGGCTTTTCATCCAACATTCAGCGCAACATGAATCTACATTCTTCATGTAAACTATCACCATTGAGCATATAAGGCTATTATTCATTTTATTCATGCAATTCGACATTTGTAAACACTTTCTTTTATGCAGCTAAAGTCCACCTTTAAGTCCACACAACTACACAAGTACTTCAGGGTAGTTCAAAAATCTCACTTACATAATCTTTTAGCATATTTCATGCTTTTTATAGCATTCACAAAAATGTGTTAGTAAGTTTACCCAGATAATCTTGCTGCCTAGCAAATTTAACCAAATCATCAGAACACATTGATATAAAAAATAAATTTTTTGCTTGGAGATTTTTCTAATAAGAGTTTGTAAGACGATGCTACAATGAGATGGAACTGTTATAAAAAATGTTGCCTAAATAATTAGCTCATAGCTATTCAATTTAATAAACCCTATACCTGCCAAAAGATTGTTCTGCTTATGAAAAATAAAAAAGCAAAAAAGCATGTCCAACTACAGCAAAATTAATCTTAAGTTAAGTTGAATAAGATTACCCTTTTACTTTGAGAAACAGCATTCATCATAGGAACTGACTTCCTTAGCTTTTCAATTGATTCATAATTTCCTCTAAGGCAATCTTCATGCATAACCATCAACTCCTCAGCAACCTTAACATGATATCATAAGTAAAGATTACGCCACAGAATAGAGGTCTTGAACATCTAGAATCATAATCAGCACGCTACACAAAAGCATATGACATATGGAACAATTTGTATGAACATAAAATAAATAAGGTCATAATGGAGCGGGGATTCACAGCAAAGAGAGGTCATTAAGAAAGAAGGAATAATGCACAAGAATGCTGGATGATAGCCATTTAGGAAGAAAGTTTTGGGACTGGACCAACATAGTATGAGTTGAATATAAGTTTAAGTGTTTAACAAACACAAATAGCCAGACACAACAGAATGCAGATAGTTGATAAACACAATGCTCACATGAGAAGCAGAAGTCAGGCTCTAAAGATGAACAACTAACATCAGATAATGATGTTCACTTTAAGGATTAGGTAAACGAAACAAATTTAAAAAAAGAGTTCTGAAGTTCACTTGAATAAAAATATAACCCATAGTGAACCCGGATCAAGAAATGAGGAAAACATTATAAATATATAATCACTACTGCATAAACTTAGAACTTTCTATCAGCTGTTTTCAGTAACATGGGCCAAGCAGAAAGATTTAGAATACTTTCCATACTCTAGCTAATTCATCTCATAGCTGAGGAAACAGTTCACGTCAGTAGGGATTCAATCCTCCCTCGCAACTTAAATAAGAAAAGGTGCCTAGATCCCGAGAGTGAAATCCTTCAGTTGGATTATACATGAGAATATGGACTTCACTTTCCATAACTAAAAAATTATGATGAAAGGGATTGCTACATTTATATTGCTCACTTGAACAGGAGTCTTGAAAATAAGAAGTCTTGGACATTGAGTTCATCCTATTACAAACCGAAGAATTTCATGATACTAAGCGCATAGAGCTGAATTCATAAACTTCATGAATGATTCCCTCAAAAAATCGCAATATCAACTACAACTTATAGCATTCTGCTTGATACTTTTCTAAGTTTTTTTCGTCAAGGGAACCACCCCTAACTTAGGCACTATTTCACATTACCACCCTTAATTACTCAAATTTTAGAAAACCATCCCTATCTACCATTCTATTAACCCATAACCACCCATGACCGTTTCCCTCGTACTTTTCCATCCAAGAAATTATATTTGACAATTTTATCCTACGTAAGTTTAATTTTGTGGACTTTGAGTATCACAGTTAAATTTGTTAAAACTTGGGTATCAAAATCAAATTTTGTTGAAATTTGGGGTATCAAAATTAAATATTGTTGAATTTTGAGGTAACAAAGTTAAGTTTTGTTTATCTTTGGAATATCAAAGTTAAATTTTGTTGAACTTCTAAAATAGAAGCAAGAAACAAGATACCTCTTCAACACTGCCATCGTCGATCTCAGTATTGAAAGAAAGCGCCATGCATTCATCCAATATATTCTCCAGATCGTCAATATAAAGGGGCTCTAAGAAAAAAAAATCAAAATATTAACATCTCATCAGCAAATAGAAGGATTATGGAGGATAAAACCCAAGCCCTAACCTTTGGATTGGGAGAACCAGGAGAGGATTGAGGAGGCGAGATCGTGCGATTTCTGGCGGGAATCTCGGCCGCCCCATTGATTCTCGATCGCCATCTGGAGAGCGGTCCATCGCGAGAGAACGAGAGAGATGCCCTCGCTGAAGAGGTTGAAGGACTCCGGGTTTAGGGTTTGAGATGGGCCAGCTTCGCTTCCTCCATTGAAATTTGAAGAATTCATCTTCTGACAAAAAACAAATAACATTTTAGGGTTTTGGCTGAAGCGGCGACGGCGCGAGATAGCGCAAACGGAGAGAATATAAAGGTAATTATGCTATTTCTAATGGATACTTGGTAGAGGCTATTAATTTCAACCGCACCCCTGTAGGATTGTTGCTAGCGCTTAACACCCCTTGGGAGCTAAACTTCGCCTAACCCACTTTAAATATGGCTGCCCTCTTTTTATAATACCCAAAATGCCCTTTAGATTAGTTGGGCCTCTTTTTAGCTTATTTACTCTCATTTTTGCTGTTTTTTCGTTTAGAAAGACACAATTGAAGCATGAAAGAAACTTAATTTGGATAAATTAATTCTCAAAACAGAATCCGAACGAGTGGGGACATTAAAGAAGCTTTACTAGCTGTTAGAATGAATTTTATGAACTTTTAATAATTTGTATCGTTGTCCAATTATGACAAGGTCATGCTAATAGTTCTAGCGAAGTCAAGAAATAAGCAGTAAACCAATCTGAGACATGACACGTTAGTTCGTAGGAATGAGAATGTTCATTAGACATAAACTGATCGGAAATGAGAAAGTTCTAAAATTTTAACAACTCACAAGAGGAAATAGAGAGAACCCTAAACCCTAACCACTTTTACTGTTAGGGTTTACGGGTCGAAAACTAAAACCCTAGTTACGATATTGGGCTCAAATTGCAGGGGAAACGACAAAATTATTTGCAATTGATCGAGGAGAGGTAGAAAGAGATAGCTTGAGATTCGATAGGGATGCTCGGAGCTTTAGACAGCAACAGTCCTCTTTCGTGTAAATAAAGGTATAAGGAATTTCGCAAGACAATTCAACCCAACAACGGAAAATATAAAGAACTTCGTTTAAATAAAGATAAAGAACACGAATTTTACCTGAGAATTCGAGTAAACAAAAACCCTAGCACGCGATTTTACCGAAGGCAAGAAGGAGAGAGATACGAGGGAGAGAAAAAGGAGGTTTTGGAGAAAAACCCTAGCTCACGTTAATTAATATATATTTTCCACCATGAGAGAGCGAGAGAAAAAGGAGGGAACGATGAAATGAGAGGGAGAGGGCGCGGTGATTGTAACCCTAGCCCTCTTTCTCTCTTCCTCTGCGACTTTTTAATTGCGGTTTAATTGAGATTCTGTCAAAACCGGAGGTTTTGGAGAGGGAAACAGATTTCTTAATTGCATATTGGTTCCTCACTTTATTTTTAATTGCGAAATAGTCCCTCATCTAATTATTTACTTATTAGTCCCTAAGATCTTCAGTTGCCTTGTCAATCCGCTCCTTGTGTTAGGTGGTGTTATTAATGGCCGGTAAATATGATAGAACTAGCAGAATACCCATTATATCACCACTTATACTAATTCAAACCCACATTCTTTCTTTGCCAATGACCCCATGTTTCTCCCAATCCCAAAATTAAGATTATTTTCATGTCTAGCTTCCCGCTAAACCCAAAACTTTGGAGGAAAATATATACCACAGGGTAATAAGATAAGGGAGGTTATTGATTGGGACAAATTGGGCCAAGCGAAAAAATTATTCCAATGAAACAATTTTATCCCTTTGGGATATTTTAAGTAGGGTAAAGTGGGATAATGGGACAATTTGAGCATTTGATTTGACAATTCATGTGGGATAATTAATAATGTAGCGCCTTATTAAAATATAATTTTATCTATTAATTACTTCTAAATTAACTTATCCAATTGGTTTAGTATATTATTATAATATAGACATTATTTTATTTTAAATTAAAATACAATATATTATAATTACTAACTAATATTATTAATTATTATATTACATTATATTATATTATATTATATTAGCATGCTATACTATATATAATAATTAATATAATATAATATCAATATATTTAATATAATATTTTAATAATATAATATTTAATATAATACATTATTTTATTTATACAAAAATATAATATGTTATACTATAACTACTTTTTAATTATTATATTATATTACATTATATTAGTATGGTACATTATATAATAATTGATATAATATATGAATAATATATATAATATAATACTTTAATAATATATTATTTAATTTAATATATTATAATATAGTATCATAGGATATAATGTACTTTATAAAATATTATAATATTTTACTTTATTCAATGTAATATTTTTTAATATATGAATAATATATTTAATATAATACTTTAATAATATATTATTTAATTTAATATATTATAATATAGTATCATAGTATATAATGTACTGTATAAAATATTATAATATTTTACTTTATTCAATGTAATATTTTAAAAAAATCTAAAAATTCAATTAGTTGTAAATTTCTTGTATTATCAGTAAATAACAATTAATAAGCTTGTTGTATGAATGAAACTATGAAGAAATTCAAGAAATATAGCATCATAATATGTGTGATAGCGGGTTAAGCCGCTTTTAACAACAAAAATCCGCTTTTAACCGCGAAAATCCGCTTTTAACCGCGAAAACCCGCTTTTAACCGCGAAAACCCGCTTTTAACCGCGAAAACCCGCTTTTAACCGCGAAAACCCGCTTTTAACCGCGAAAACCCGCTTTTAACCCGCTAAAATCCGCTTTTACGCGCTATTCGAATGAATAGCGGATTTTCTCGCTTAAGTAAGCCGCAAAACCCCTACGCGTAGCGCTAAGGGCCGCGACAGCTATTCGCGCCGCTATAGCCCCGCTATTCGACGCTATTTACAATGTTGAACGTACGTATTAACATTTTTAAATATAGTATTAACATTCATTGCGATGCTAAAACTTCCTAGTATTCCTCTCAGTCTATACGTGATAAACTGCTGTAGCTAGGGACATCCTCAAAGTTCTCTTCTTCCATGCCCAATTACGAAAATTACAAACATTGCTATGAAGAACCCCTAAATGCACTACTATATACCGTCTCAACAAACTTCCCTTCACTGCTAGCCACAAGATGAACTAATGTCTAGGCGCAGTAAATCTCTCCCATATTGTAGATGACCAATGAATCAGAGGGTAGTTACAGAATAAATCTCTTAGCAAGCATAGTTACAGAAAGCCTTAGGCGATCTAGGCGATGGACCAGACCAGACACCTAGAGCGTAGGTGGGGGGAGGGGGGCTAGGTGGTTTTCCTATTTTTAATTTTTTAATTACAATTATTGACAAAAAATACCAGTGTGGTGGTGGAGGTTTTGCTTAAGGTCTGAGGAGATAGAGGAGGTGTTCATGGTTGGAGGATAGAGGAGTTTGCAGGAGGTTGGAGAATGTGGAGGCTGCAATGAAGGAAATCACGATCAAGGCCTAAAGGGTGCAGTCCACGTAAGCAGCTCACACTCTCCTTGACGCTCCTATTGCCTAGGTGGATAGTCTAGGCACTAAGCGCTAGGTGGGCGACGTAAGTACTGCCTTGGAATCGGTTGCCTGGGCAGGCTAGATGGAAGCTTTTTAAAACACTAAGCAAGACTGAAATTCAAAAAGTTTCATCTTTAATCCGCTTAGCCATATTCTGGGTAATATACTGTTGTTTAGGCCATTTACTCCTAGTCCAATCCCTCACCTTGAATAAGCTTCTCCAGAAGCAAGAATTAGATGGCCTAGAGATCACATTCCAACAGATTTATGCTTCAAATAGTGGCTATGAAGTCATTTAATCCACAACATATCCTTCTTTAAGTGAACAGCCCATAAGATTTTAAGCACTGAAACCATGTTCCAATTCCCAGTATGAAATAAACCCTGATTCTTAAGCATGTACATAGTCTCCCGCTGACGCAAGATGAGCTTTATGCTCACCTTCCCTCTCACCCCATATGAATCTAGAGCATGGAGCATCAATCATGTGTAGTCTGATTTGGTAGCGAGCATATAGTAGTCCAATAAACATGCATACGGAACAAAACTGACTTAACCAATTCTATGCTGCTTGCATAGGATAGTTTGAAAGATCCTCACAACTTTAGTTTTGATTCTCTCTTACCAACTCCTGACAGTGTTTATGCGCCACTTTTACATCAGACATCGGGACCCCAAAATACTTCACAAGAAGGGTACCTTCTTCATAACCAGTAGCTAGCATAATTTGAGCCTTAAACTCCTTGGAAACCCCAGAGATAAAAATGATACTCTTTGATTTATTCACCTCAAGTCCAGACATAACAGGGAATTGATCAATTTTCGTCTGAAGGGCCAACAAATAAACCTTTTCAGCTTTAACAAATAACAGGAGATCATTAAGAAACTCCTTTGTTTTGTTAATTTCATACACTGTTAGGGGGGTTATTCATTGGTGTAATTTTAGGGGTAAAGGGATAATTTTTGGAATAACAGTGTTTGGTGTTATTCATTGGGGTAATTGGGTATGGATTCAATTGTATGGTGTTATTGGTTTGTTGGGATAAATATGAGACAAATACACTACTTCCCCAAAAATTACCCCACCTATATAAACACTACTCAACCCCACCCTCAAAATTTACCCAATTTTTTTTGCTGGAACAATATGAGAACAAAATTACCCCACTTCCATCTCTTCCTCCCTGTGTGCCTCCTCCTTCCCCAAAGAGAACCCACCACCAAGCTCCAGCCCCTCCTCCCTCTCGTCTCCGCCAGTCTCCGTCACCTATATTCCTAGAGCTCAAACCCCCTGCTCCTCTTTGCCTAGCCCCCTTCACCGCCTGAGCTCGCCTCCACCTCCTCCCTCTCGTCTCTGCCAGTCTCCGTCGAGGCGGAATCCTAGAGCTTCCTCTACCCCTCGTCGGAATCATGTGGCTATTCTCGCCGTCCGATGGGGTACATCGTCGGAATCCTGAACCCCTCGAATCTAAACCCCAGAGCTTCAGGATCACTAGAGACTAAAAAGATGTGGGTCCTAAAGTTCGGGTTTTGGATAAGAAGGGGATAGATGCGAATTTGAAACCTAATTTGTTGAGGGCCAGTTTGGATGTTGATTTGTGGAAACCTGATGGAAAAGATTCTAGGGTTTCAAAAGAAATTGCTCCCAAATCCATTGAGAATTCCAATGAGAATGGTGTTCGAGCTGTTAGCAATATCCAAGCAAGCTTCATGAAAAGCTTGCTGCACTAGAGGGAAGAGTCCAAAGAATTGCTTTTGACATCAAAAGGACCAAAGAGATGTTGGATTCCAATAATATTATTATATCATTTTTAATATTTTATATTAAAATAATCTTTAAAATAATAATAATAATAATAATATTATTATTATTATTATTATTATTTAATCATTTGATGTAATATCAAGTTAAACTTGAACTTAATTGATCTATAGATATTATATTATAAAAAGATGTCATACCAATTGTTCCACTCAAATTATCTCATTATCCCATTTTATCCCACTTTATCCCACTCAAATTAACTCATTGGGTAAAATTACCCCATTGGAACAATTTAACCCAATTTGCCCCAAATTACCCCAATGAATAACCCCCCCTTAGAATCATAATGCTAGAAAGCCAGTAACTACCTAGCTATAATTTTCAAATTAGGTATGAGGCTTCTGCTAGCGAACATAAATTGCCTTTAGCTTGTGTACTTGTGCCTCAGAGGTTTCTTCATACACACATCCTTAGTACTACTAGCATAGATGAAGACACTTGTTACGTTGACTTGAAATCTAGGCTAATTGTTTCACAACCAAATGAGATGAGTAAACTATTTTGCAACCAAATGAGCCTTGCAACAATCCATTGACCCGTCAAGTTGATGTTTCACAATAAATGCCTATCCACATGCACTAACATTGGTAAAAGCGGGAAGCCTGGGGCCGGAACAAACTCCCAAACACCTCGAGATACAAGAGCATCTATCTAATCAATAGCTTGTTTTACATAAGATTATTCATTCTATCCTGATAGTTTTTGGGTACATTAATAAAATAAAGAGATGAGGCAAACTGGCATTAAGAATGACTAAGATGATCAAATGATAAACTTGGCACTAGAATGAAAAGTAAATGACCTTGATCTTTCGTAAGAGCAATTTGTAGCTCATGAGCAGAACTAGGGGCAATGATGGAATCTCCTTCTGATGACATTAGATTAGAAGTGAAAGGGTTTAGTCTATTGAAGAGTGTGCACTTGTAAAGGCTTGGCTGCAATGCTGATAAACATATATGTTGCGAATGAGGGCACACTCAAAATGATAAGAAGTTTTAGGAAAATACCAAGGTTGCTGATCGCGGATCGCGGCGCGTCGCGGCGAGGTACCGCTAAGGCTATATCGGGCTATTGCGGCGAAATCGCGGCAAATAGCGCACAGTCAAATAGCGGTCAAATTTAAATATATTTAAATATCCTATAATAAGAAAATTCATAAAAAAAATCTAAAAATTCAATTAGTTGTAAATTTCTTGTATTATCAGTAAATAACAATTAATAAGCTTGTTGTATGAATGAAACTATGAAGAAATTCAAGAAATATAGCATCATAATATGTGTGATAGCGGGTTAAGCCGCTTTTAACCGCCAAAATCCGCTTTTAACCGCGAAAATCCGCTTTTAACCCGCGAAAACCCGCTTTTACACGCTATTCGAATGAATAGCGGATTTTCCCGCTTAAGCCATCCGCGAAACCCCTACGCGTAGCGCTGAAGGGCCGCGACCGCTATTCGCGCCGCTATAGCCCCGCTATTGGCCGCTATTTACAACACTGATATAGGTACATCTTTTAGTCAACTTTTATTTTTTTCAACAGTAAAATTTCTTTTCATCCCCTGATCTCTTAAAGTTATCGTATTTTACATCCTTCTTCATCTCAAACTCAAAATTTCATCTAGCCCTTTACCCAATAATACCTCCTTTCAACCTCTCTTTCTCTTTCATCAATGGATCCCCCTCCTCCTCCAACCTTACAATTCAAACCCAAAATACAATCTTGGAGAAATTTGGAGGCAAAAACACATGAATCTGAATGCGCATCACTTGTGCCGTCCAAAAGTATGGTATAAGGAAAAAAACTGTAGAAGATGCAGTTCATTCATTTATTGTCTTTGATGTTGTTATTCAGAAGTGTGTATGACGAGCTATTTGATATCGTGAAAGATTTATCTATTTTTTCTGTCTTTCCATCCTTTTTGTTCCTACAATCGTGAAGAACGATTTCACCGAGGACAACACAAAAAACATAAGACGCATAACGTAACGCTTACCTCCGGTTAAGTTACAATAGCGATAACGCATAACGTAACGTAGGTTAAATAATTTATTATTATTTAAATAATTTATTATTATTTAAATAATTTATAGATATATAACGTTCAAAATAAATCAGAAATTTTTAATTTTTAATAATTTCAGCAATTTATAGTAGATTCCGTAATATAATATTGTTTTTTTCTGTTGTAATTCTTTACCAGGATCTGATTAATTATTATGTATATTGAGAAACTATAGCTGAATCTGCAATTCTTCACTGCAAATAGCCAGAATCAAACTCGAGACCTCTCTTGGACTGGGTCAAAGGAATTAGTACTCTCTTGGACTTAAGAGAGGCCTAGACACAGTAACGCCGAAACTAGTAGGATTTGTTATATAAATAATCAATATTTCACAGTTAATCACATCTTCAACAATCAACAGAAGATAGCAACAGAAGATGATATCGTGGAGGGTTTCTTCAGAAAATAGCAAAAAAAGGAGGAAAAAAAAGAAAATCCAGGAAAAAAAAATACCCGACGGGAGATCCAGTTGCAGTGGAGGGTTTCGAACGCTTGCGAGATCCAGTTGCAAGGGAGGGCTTCAAACTCGTGCTGGAGGGCTTCGAACGCCTGCGGAAAGGCTTCGATCGCGTGCTGGAGGGCTTCGAACGCCTGCGGGAGAGCTTCGAATGCCTGCGGAAAGGCTTCGATCGCGTGCTGAAATGGAGGCGACGGGAGATCAGAAGGGGGATTCGCTGGTGTTCAAGAGAAATGGAGGCGACGGGTTAGTTTAGGCCCTCTAGGGTTTTGTTAACAAGTAAATCAAATCACAGCCGTTCTTTTTTTTAAAAGCAATCTAAGCCATTGACAAAATAACCTAAGTTATTAAACGTTACAGTGTTACGTTACATAACCTACATGGGAAAATAACCTACGTTATTTTGTTCTTGCGTTATATTCAAACGTTATGTAACGTTGAGCTTGCGTTACGTTACGCTATGCGTTATTTTGTGTTACGAAACGCGTTATTTTCAACACTGGATTTATTACTTTATATTTTATATATCATGTCATATATTTATAATGTAATTAGCATGCGTTAGTTAAGTAATACAAAAATGTTTGAAAATTATCTCAATTGCCTTCAAAGTGGAACAAAATTATTCCAATATGGAGGATGGGATAAATTTTTACTATTGGGATAAAAAAATTTGTATATGAGTGAGGTAATTTTATCCCAAGTAGTGAAATTGTCTCACTAGTGTCCCAAAAAACCAATAATACAAAAAAGATAATATCATCGTTCCATTGTTCCAATGAATTACACTAGCAAGATTAATACAACTTATTTAATTTAGAGTTATATATATATATATAAACTTATAGAATTAGTAGTTTTATTTAAGAATAATTTAGAGTCAGTTGGACAATAGTATATGGTTTAACCAATTAACCCATATTATTTTAAAGGTTAATAGCAAACAGACCCCTGTAGTATCAACAAATTGTGAAGAGAACCCTCATAGTTTCATTTCGCGAATAAACTTCTTGAGGAATTTTTTTGACTCTTAAAATTGTTTAAAATATTTAAGAAGGTGGGTAGATATCATGTAGTTCTATTGGTGAGTACAAAATTATATGAATTTTAACCTCTTGTGAGGGGTTAAGAGAGAAGAGTTAATGAGAAAGACTAACTTAGTTAACCCTTCACGATAGGTTAAAAATAATTTATTTCCATTTGGATTTGATAGTCAATATTGTGAAAGGTTAAGTTTTTTGTGTTTAGCATATAAAGAAGGGTTAAAACGTTAGTTACCATAAATATTCTAAATTATATTCTTTTTTAGTGTTCAGTTTCTTGCTTTCAGAGGGACTAATTCTTAACCCTTCTCTTTAGGCGGATTTGCTAACCCTTCCAAACGAGAGGTTAACTGACTTTATCCCTTGTAAATGTTAACCCTTTGACCAAATTAGTCTGTTTAACTCATATGGTTAAGGAGGGGTTAAAGGGGTTTAACCCTGCTTCTCTTAACCCCACACCAAACGGGGCCTAGAGGGATATATTAATTTGCACTTAAGCCAATAGTACATGGGTCTATCCGACACAAATAGAGCTAAAAGGGGCCTATTCACAATATGATAACACTACAGGGGTTCTATTTGTAATTAATCCTAATTTGAAAGTTAAATAAAACTTTTGAAGGAAAACGATTAATATAGAGGATATACACTACATATCTTTTTTTTTTTTGCTGTATGCGGCAGCGACGTCACAGGCGGCCTATCGTCTCTCCACGTTTACTCCCAAAACCAGATGTCATCCCAATTCTCCTAACACGCAGCCAGCTGTGTACAAACACAACCAGCACCCGGCCTCTTTAAGATCCCTGGGAGAAGAGTCATCACTGCCGTTGCCGGAGGGCAGGTAACAAATAAAAGTTTTGCATGTCTATTTATAGAACATATTTATTTTCAAATTCACTGTAACAAGAACGAGAAAGATCACAACCAAGAGCATCCCGATCTTAAATCTTCGAAAAATAATGTATATAATAAAGCGAAAACTCATTTTATACGTCATATCGGTTAGGTACATGCCTTACTCTTCCTACGTCTTGATCGGACATGTCGCTGAATAAGCTAATTCAGCTCATAGTCCAGTATCCTCAGTTATCGGATGCTCATTTGAAATAGACTTCAAGCAATAATTATACAAGAGAACCGTCAACCTGCAGGTGATGGCACAGTTCGCAGTGCCGGCTCCGGCCCCGGCACC